TTGTCAGATTTGCTTTTAGACCTAGGAAAATCCCATCCCTGTGCACTCAAGTGCATTTGCTGGTTTGCCTGTGTGACTTTGCATTTTCAAAATCCTTATAGTGGAAAATAAAGGCAGACTGCAAAGCGACAAAGGGGTACTGCTGGAGTTCATGTTCTCATGAAATGCCAGTACAGGATTACTTGTTACTTATTTAGCTTACTAATTAATAAAGAGTAATTCTCATTAAATTAGTTCCTAAGTGCCGCTGATGTAATTGGAATAACATTTATTTGTTCCTGATTTCAAAAAGGAAATATGTCATTTTAATCATATAGATCAAACAAGATTGTCCCAGACTTTGACTTTAAATCATAAAATTTGATCAAAAGTACACTTGTTTACCAGGTAGACTTGCTTATCAGTGCTCAAGATGAAACATGACACGTGACGTGTGAAGAAAAAATTAAGGTAAAATACGTTTTTATTTTGTCCTTATTATAATACTTATTATTTTTGAGGTACAGTGAAAGTAAGCCATTGTTAAAGTGATTTTCAGCCTCTGTGTTGCAACATTCACACATGCAATTATGCAGGAAGATCAAACGAACTTTTGCAAAAACAGGTAATGAAACGAGCTGCCAATAAGTTGCTGGCAAGAAGCCATGCTACATGTGAGAAGCTGTTTTGTGAAGTGGGTGACACCTATATTATTGATTTACTGCAATAGCAATCAAAAAGACTGCTGATTTCATATTTTAGCTCCTGTAAACAGACACTTCCTCTATTGTCGTGGTTGATGGAGATGCCTCGTCTTATTCGAGTTCACACTGGAGGACCTGATTCAGTTCATGAAAGGGATTAGCATCACTTCGCTAAATAGAGACAGATTACATGCCACTCTGGCTTTTTCAAACTGACAGGCTGAGATCATGCTAATAACCCGCGTGGCGCTAGCCTAGCACGCTCATTTTGAGAAGCTCCAGACGCTGTCACCATGTCAGCTCTCATGGCCATGCTCAATTCATTACAATTCTCCGGGACTTTGTTGCCGTGACCAATTTGAGGGAGCCGAGGAGAGCACTTGTAAAGGTTAAAGCGGCCCTCGTGATTTATGGGCGGTTGACAGTTTTGCATGGCCTGATATCCAGAGCCAAGCAAGCAGCTCCCACAAACACAGTGTGATTAAGAGATTTACTGTCTCGCTCCAGGCAATCGAGCAGCATTTGCGCTGAGGGTTTTGTGTCGTCTTTTGTCCCGGCTATTGTTGTGCTTTCAGCTTCCCTTTGCAAACATTGCTGGGGTGCACTAACGTCCCCCTCGCACGTAATGCACCTGTGGTATCTGACAGACATAGTCCAAATCACCTTTTCATTGATAAAGCAGTCCATTAAGATTTGCTTGGAAACCTCAGATTTAATTTGTAACTGTTGAGCGACCAAGATTAGGAAAATGGATAATAGATCAGCCCTCCCTCTCCCGGGTGCTCGTTTACGTGCCAATGTCTCCATGGCCACATAATGATGAACATAAAATAACATTCGCAAAGATTCCTGTTTAATTGGCCGTAGGGTTAGGTCTGTGTTTTCAATGGCCTTGTAGAAGCTACCATGTGTTCTCATTAGTGTTTTAGAGGGAGGATTGTTGCCCTCCACCTTTTAAGAGCTGCAAACAGCTCCTCTCACAGCTACTTTCTCCTCATTATCACAGTGGCAACAGTGATCTGACTCACCTTCCATGACCAGACCGTCCAGCCCCACACTAGCTCCACCTAGCAAGCCTTTGACGTCCTCCCCTGACTCCTATTATTTCACAGTAAAGGTTTTCCAAGCCTCGCTCGGACCTGTGCTTGCCTGAGTCTGTCCTGTGGTCTCAAGTATGCCATTAAGTTAGCACCTGACCTTTTGGCCTCTTGGAGTACTTGCTGTAGAAGTATTCTCAACGTCATAGTATTCAAATTATGGTATTAATGAGTCCCAAATTACTTTTTGTCTGTACCAAGATTTATTCATATGAATAATAAACATGACTCACCTTCCATGACCAGACCGTCCAGCCCCACACTAGCTCCACCTAGCAAGCCTTTGACGTCCTCCCCTGACTCCTATTATTTCACAGTAAAGGTTTTCCAAGCCTCGCTCGGACCTGTGCTTGCCTGAGTCTGTCCTGTGGTCTCAAGTATGCCATTAAGTTAGCACCTGACCTTTTGACCTCTTGGAGTACTTGCTGTAGAAGTATTCTCAACGTCATAGTATTCAAATTATGGTATTAATGAGTCCCAAATTACTTTTTGTCTGTACCAAGATTTATTCATATGAATAATAAACACAATGAACATGTGATTAGTATTATACATATTATGTAAGTAGATAATATTTAGCAATATGTACATTTATTGTAATGTGTGCCTTGGAGGAGGATAATCCTGGTTCCTACTTAGCGTTTTGTCTTTCTTCACTTGATCTTGTGGGGGTGGGGGTTTCTTGCCACAACCAGTCACTGAGGATACGAAGGCATGGTTTTCTGAAAAAAAATTATTTGATACAATATATATTCATTGTAAGACGTGCTGTACAAGTAAAAGGCACTTCTCTTGATGGTATGATAATGGTTTGATGAATTTATGAAGTAAATACTGCAAGGTTTGTTTCAAATTTTAATTTGTCTGATAAATTTATCTACTATATTGTCCAACACTTGATTTGCATGCATAAGGAGAATTCTGCCATTTTTGGACACACTGGACACAGTTGCAGTGTCATTTGCACCACATCTCAGATTATGTACTGTATATTTACTGTACATTTAATAACATTCTATAGTGGAAATGGTGTGAATTACATTAGATTTTTTTTTGTTATTATTATGTTTTTATTTTTATTTTTTTTTTCAAATGGCCAACATCTTTATAATTCTAATTTAATAGCTAGAATTTTATGCATCCGAAATGCTCACAAATATAGTCACACTTTGTTACTATAATTTATATAATTTTTATAATTATATAATTTTTTTGCACTTTTTTTCCTGCCTAGTTGCACTTGTTACTTCAGTTTTTGAGTGAACACTGTCAGAATTATCCACAAATAATGCCTTTTTTCACTCAAAAACTGAGGTGCATAAGCTCAGATCAATAAGACCTGCAACCAATTAGTTCCAAAAAACAAGACTGAGATACAAGACTTGGAGATAATATAGCGTAATGAGAGATTTACAAGCAATTTTTAAAAGGCCACCAAACTGGGTAAAGGATTTTCAACACAGCCTAAGGGTTTAAAATGTTCTACTAGATAGACTAGACGTGAGTCTAATTTCATATCAAGATCTGACACTATTTTTATAGTTTATGTACATGAGAAAACTGAATATTTCACTCTTTGTTCAGATTATCATAGTTTTAAATTGAGTAATTTACATTTTTATGATGGATTGTCATGTTTTAAGATAAATTCTTATTTCAGTTGATTTAGATTAAATATTTTAGTATTTCTGAGAAAAGGGTAAAACAATAAAAATCTATACATGAAAGACGTGAAAAGTAGGAAAAAATAAACGAAAACATTAGTTGCGTTCGAAATCACAAGCTGTCTGAGTTCTCAAACTGTCATGCTTTTCTCCTACTGTTTTATGAATACTACACACATTGTTTTTCACCTACTATTGTAGAGTAGTAGGCACATGTGTGACCCTGGACCACAAAACCATACTGGTCAATTTTTTGAAAAGCTGAATACATAAGCTTTCCATTGATGTATGGTTTGTTAGGATAGGACAATATTTGGCAGAGATTCAACTATTTGAAAATCTGGAATCTGAGGGTGCAAAAAAAATATTCAAAATATTGAGAAAATCGCCTTTAAAGTTGTCCAAATGAAGTTTCATAGCAATGCATATTACTAATCAGAAATTAAGTTTTAATATATTTATGGTAGGAACTTTACAAAATATATTCATGGAACATGATCTTTACTTAATATCCTAATGATTTTTGGCATAAAAGAAAAATCGACAATTTTGACCCATACAATATTTTTTGGCTATTGCTAAAAATAATACCCAACGGACTTAAGACTGGTTTTGTGGTCCAGGGTCACATTTGGACACAGAGTTGGTTAAAAGTTTCAAGACAGGTTTAATATGACCTTTATATAACAAAAAGAAAAAAGTTGAATTCTGTTAGTTTTAATAAAAATCAACCCCAGGGAAATAAAAGTTCCTGAAGTTGAAGAAACTCTTATAGATTTAATCGTTGTATCTCAGAAAACAACACAAGCAACATGCATCCCAGCTCCCATGAGTCTAATCATCTAGACTACTATAAACAGTCATCTGCAGTAATGACAATAACATTTGAGTGTATGACTTGATTTATGACTCAAACAAGTGGTGCGTGCATTTTTATCATGTTTTAGTCAGACTGAAATCTACAGTAGACTATGCAGTTATGAGCTTTTTAAAGTTTCTGCTAACAACATTTGTAAGTACTTACTGTATACTCAAGTGGTGGTATTTTAGTTCACATGCCCTCAAAGATATCATGTACGCTTTTGAGTAATACTCTTTAACCACTCTAAAATGACTTTCACCCTCTGAGTTCCTTAATTCACTTTTCTTGAACGCTTATCTTACTGATGCATATGATTTTTCTTGGGTCCACATGATGTTTTGCTCCCACACCTGAATATTTATGAAGTGTAGGATTACAAGTAGGCCTACATACTGTTATTAAATTTATATTTATAGTAGTTTGCATTTTAGCCTGTTTTCCATGTAACATTTGGATAAACTGATTCATAATAGTAGTATTTGGCATGATATATTTACTTAAATATGAACCATAACATAAAACCTCATCTAACTTGATATTTTGATAGTCTCACCTAGCAATTACACATACATACTCTCTTCAGCAATGGCTTTTACTCTGCTCATTATAGTTTCAACAGGCTGAATGACAAATGGTGGATTCTGTGTTGTTGATTTATTATTCTCTTTCTTCTTTCCCATCATTCCTGCTGCAGCTCTCCAGCAAGTTTTAGGAGGTAAGACCAATGTTTTGTCTTTTCAGATCTGATATGCTAGAGCTGATATTGATGCTGGTGTCATCCTTCCTTGCATTGTCAGTTTGTACTGCAGTTCTGTTGACTGACTAGAGTGGACTAAAATCACTCACCTGCATGAGAAAGACCAGATTCAGCGACAGATTGAGCATCATGTGTCGTTGCACGCGCCACACCGGCTATGCGCGAGTAAACGCTCAACGGTGTAGCGTTTATGTTGTGGAGGATTTTATAATGCTTGGTCTCCAGTTTTGCAGGGCCGGAGGCTCGGGCCTCCAGCCCTGCAGCTTTTAAATTATCTCTGAATTAGATCTGCTGAATTAGAGCGCGTAAGTGCAACCCAGGCTAGGATTAAGGCAGCTGGCAGTGGTCATGCAAAACCGCTCTGCCATATACAGCTCATGGGGAAGATAAATTGAACCTCGCAGTTAGGCGTAGATGAATCCTGCAAGGCTTGACACTTCACAACTCACAAGTTTGAATGCTGGAGAAGATCCCAAGTATATATTATTTTTCCAACACCTTCTCTGTGAATGATAAAACTTAAACGCCACGGTTTGTGATGTCCGTCCTTTTGTTTTTAGCTCCAAGGACCTCGATATTTTATGTGGATGGATGGGTTGAGTCTAAGACCTGCGGAAAATTCATCAACTCAATCTTGATTTTCAAAAGCTAGCGATGAAAAATGTCTCTCTGATCGAGGAGATCCATGATGCCTTGGTTATTTAAAATGTATTATATTGTGCCTCGGAGCTGATGTGATGTCTGGGCTTGAAAATGATGATGTAGTGCATTATTCAGTAGATGTTAAAACACTGTTAACAGATACACTGAAGAAAGTCAGGGTTTTTTAATTTCTTTTTTTTTTTGTGAGCAGTTTGAAAATTAAAATAGTAAGACGGAAATGGTGAAAAAATGCAACTCAAAAACCGCGGTGTAACTCTGAGGTCTTGAAAAAGGAGCAGTCTATTGTGAAAAGGTCTGCTCTATTTAAAATGTACACTCGATGTTATTGAAGCGCCTGTGATCATTGGCAGTGTCTGTATTGTATTCGTTCTCAACAGAAGAAGGTTATCTTAAAGGCCACAGTGACACTAGTGGATGACAGAGGCCTTCTTTTTCAACATGTGTTTTTAGCCTAGACTTTTAATCATCCTCGGTTTCCCTTGTGAAGAGCTCAAGCGCTAGGACTACGCTGACATCAAATGGCAAGAATTGGACAGGGATGTGCCATATAAAGCAAGTGCTTGTGTCTATTGGATTAAAGCATTCACACAGTGTCAGCACTTTGTTTCTAGTGCAGAATGCATGAAAACAAAGATGACACTCGTTCAAGCAATCTCGCAACCACTCTGGAATACAGTGTGACATCTGAAAAGCTTGATTTAGGTGTCGCATCAGTTTGTGTATGTACAGCATTAAAATTCTGTCACATGGAGATCCAGTGAGTGTTTGTGGATGGGCCTGTTCGTGTTTGGGTGGTCACAGGAAGATGGAGGTGTTGTAGCAGAAAGCAGATATGGGAAAATATATTTTTGTGTTGGGTCGGATGCCTCAGCCATGTCACTGCTGAAAATACCATCTGCATGGATTTCCGTGATGATTCATGTCAGTTTGGTGCTTGTCTAGTTGGAGGACCAAAAATTACAGTAAAGCGGATTGACCGAAATCAGAACTTGCTGGTTAGGAAGCATTCAAAGTTAGTTAATATTTAGAACTCAAACCATTTTAGCAGGAGGTTCTGTTCAAATCATCATCATATTTTTCACAATATCTTAAAATAGTTAACATGAAATAACAATGAACTGTACTTTTGCAGCATTTATTAATCCAAACTACCTTTCAGACATTTTTTTTTCTTTTCTTTTTTATTCAACAAGGATGCATTGAATTGATCAAAAGTGAAAGTAAAGATTTACAACTTTCTTTTTCTAATAAATGCTGTTATTTTAAACCTATTTATCAAAGACTCCTGAAATGAAGCACAAACATTAAGCAGGTCAAATGTTTTCAACATCGATTAGAAATGTTTCTTGAGCACCAAATGAGCATATCTGAATGATTTCTAAAGGATCATGTGACACTGAAGACTGGTTTAATGGCTTCTAAGAATTCAGCTTAGCCCTCACATGAATAAATTTCAATAAATGTCATTCACCATGTCCTAACTACACGCGACACAACAAGATTCCAGCGACAAGCAATTTGGCTGTACACACTAGATGCGACACAACAATAACAAGGATGCATTGAATTGATCAAAAGTGAAAGTAAAGATTTACAACTTTCTTTTTCTAATAAATGCTGTTATTTTAAACCTATTTATCAAAGACTCCTGAAATGAAGCACAAACATTAAGCAGGTCAAATGTTTTCAACATCGATTAGAAATGTTTCTTGAGCACCAAATGAGCATATCTGAATGATTTCTAAAGGATCATGTGACACTGAAGACTGGTTTAATGGCTTCTAAAAATTCAGCTTAGCCCTCACATGAATAAATTTCAATAAATGTCATTCACCATGTCCTAACTACATGCGACACAACAAGATTCCAGCGACAAGCAATTTGGCTGTACACACTAGATGCGACACAACAACGTGACTTGACAGAATCACTCAAATATTACAGCCATTCATCTAATCATCTAATATTAAACTTTTTAACATTATTTTTTAAATATTCACAGTTCACAGTCTTAACGTACATGTTTGCTTTAATTTATTTTCAAGATCTGAGGTAAACTATTGTTGCTTTCAGTATGGCTATAAATGTCACGCAAAATGAAAATCAGACTCACATTAGACACTTTTAACATTGAATAAAACACATAATCAGTATCTGAGATTATCATTGTCCTTGTTGTTCCAGCCGTGACGTTGCAGAAATAGAAACCGGTTCTAAAATAGAAATGTTGCGTGTCGCCATCGTGGCTGATTAGGACAAAAACTCCAATTAACATGGAAAAGATACATTTATTGCGCGTCGCGCCGTTGCGTCGCATGTAGTTAGGACACTGAGTTAAAATATATAACTATTATTTTAAATTGTAATAACATTTCACAATTATACTGTTTTATTGTATTTTTATTAAATAAATGCAGCCTTGATGAGCATAATACACTTAAAAATCATAAATCTTACAGTCTCCAAACTTTGTAATGGTCGTGTAGGTTGTGTAGGTTGTGCATCCAAACATGAGCTAACGATGAAAAATGGCACTTAAATTTATAAATTAATAAATGCTGTGAAAAAAATGCTATGTTATTTCATGATACCAAATGCATTAACTAGTGTTAATGAATGCAACCTTCTTGTAAAGCATTACTAACTAAACAAACATCTCATTAAGTATTAATGCACTTTGTACAGCCACAGAAATGCTGTTTAATTTCAGCATCTGTCTTTGTGCTGTTTAATTTTCTGCATTTGCTTTGATACATTTCAGAAGACTTAAAACCGCCAAACTGGATTGCGACATTTTAACAGTGACACAAGCTGTTTTCATCCAGTCAGTGTTGTTGACCTCATAAATAAGCAACATATATGCAAATAAGAGTGTTTTATTATACAAATAACAATGTTTACAGATGTATACAGTGTGAAACTTTGAAACATGACCCCAGGATTAATTACTAACCCAGGGTAGAGAATGGACAGTGAGAAGTAGATAGATAACCCACGATCACGTTTACCCAGGGTTTTAAACAAATCTCTAACATCCCTGCAGGACGCCATGCTTTACTCACATATACACTTGTTACGTTGTGTCGAGGTCATATGACTTGACGGTGTGCGTGTAGAGAGCATGTTTTGGGATGTTGAGATGCCTCAGTTAGCCGTCTGTGCTCTCATGCATACCGTCAGCTTCAGGATGTTTACAGTCTTATCATACCTCTGCTTCCATCCTTAGAGGAAAAGCTCTTATGTCACTGCTGCTCACTTCTTGAGGGCCGGAGCATAATCCACAGCTCAGCTCAGCTGCATCCATCTTTTGCTCCAGTTAGGTAATGCAGAGCAGGCTTGACCGCAGTGACCATGACCGTCAGCTGCCCTTGCGAGCAGAGGCATGTGAGGACATCAGAAGAGCGGGTACAGCTGGCACTGCCATGCCCAATCCTCCCAGTACCTCAGTGACCTTGATATAATCCTCCATCTGAAGGAAAGCCTCCAGGAGTTTTAGGCTAATCCCCTCTCCGCATATTCAGAAGTTTCTCACTCAGTGCCGTGCAGGAGCTAATCAGAGATCAGGTTTTGATATGCAGTAGATAGAGAATCCGTTATGGCTTAGAGTTTTATGAACTGAGCATTTGCAAAGCATCTTGTCACCAGTAGCTTATGAGACTCTGACAGTCACTTGCTTCCTGAGAATTCTTAGTATTCACAGATGGAGGCAGCATGTGATTTTTCTCTGTTTATAATGTTTATGATCTTGTGTGTGGCAATAATGCTCTGCTCTACTTCTGCCACATCAAATAAACAAAATCCATCACACAGGTCATTATTTCACACGTTATTATTCGAGATATTATCTAGTCATTTTGAGTTAGAGTCTCTCAAAATGATGATCTCAAATAATCTCGATTTACTTTATTTTAAGATAATATCTCATTGTTTTGACTTGCTTCAGAAAACATATTTCAATATTTTAATCTCATTATTTTAAAATGTCAAATTACTGAGTTTGTATCTAGGGTAGTTTCTTTTAAATAATACATCTATTAAGGAATATCTCTTAAAATGTCTCAAAATAATGATATCTGAAAGTAATGATGTTATCTCAAAATAATAATCTTGAAGTAATGAGATATTTCAAAATTATGAGATCCTATGTAATTATTTCGAGTTTGCATCGTTTCTCATTATTATCTCGTTTCAAAATAAATGTTGTTTTGAAATGATTTTTTGAAATGAGAGCTCAATCTTGATTGAAATTATTTTGAGTTGGTAGCTTGGTCTAGTACATCATAAATGTAATATCTACTAAACCATCTCAAAATAATGAAATGCTATCTTCAAATAATTTCATTTTTTAAATGCAATGTCAGATTGAGTTTCTGTTTAGGGTATCTTTTAAAATATCTTGAAATAATCATATTGTCTTAAATTGATGTTATTTTTCGAAATAATGAGAGCTCTCTAAAAAAAATGTCTAAATAACGTGTGTGCTGATTTTATTTATTTATTTATTTATTTATTGATGTAGCAGAAACTGACTTCCATAGAATTCAGTAAGCTAGCAAGCATAATTTTGCCTTGTTTCCACAGCAACGTAGGGATAGACCAAAATGTGAGGATGGAATTATGTGGAGTAAATCCCGTAATTACTTTATATGAAACTGCAAAAGCAATATTACAAATGATATTTCTAGTTGATTGTCTTGAAATGTACTATATTCACCAAGACATTCATATTAAATCACCCTACACATTTTGCAATCTGCATTTTATGGGCCGAAACAATCCTTGTAATGGAAACACGTTAACCTAAACAAGCTCTTTTGATTTGCCTGCCATGAATTATTTTTATTTTTTTTATTTTATTTGCTCGCTTCTTATTATTCTAGCATGCAGTTCGATACTCGCTTGCCATTTAAAAAAATATCTCCCCTCTTCCAGAAAACTATTTGAGGTAAACACTTTTATGGCCATGTTATTGACCCATTTAAACAAATTGATCTCTTGAAAACCACTTTCATCCAGATTAAGCCAGACAGGTGGAGGTGAACGGCCATGATAACAGAGCAGGAACAAGAAAAGAAATGTGAGCGAGAAGCAGGCAGACCGAAAGAAATGGAAGGGAGTGGGTTAGTTGCGCCAGCAACGTCATACTAAGGGAGACACGGGAGCCTGTTGCTATGCCAACGCAGATGGGCCACCGCATTTCAATGCAGACGTCCGCAGCAGGCCTCTCCTCGTCAGACAGCGCTGTGGCAATGACGCCTTGCATTTGCATTCTCAGAAAATAAATGTTTACATGAAGCATACGCTCCTTTTTAAAATACCAACACCTCAAGGCTACCGCTGCTCTGTCCGCTGTTCAGCTTAGTGGGTACGCAGCCGCTCTACCTGTTTCATATTAAAATATGCATCACTGGGAGGGAAGAGAGACTTCTCTATGAGCCATTACTGTCCATCTTTGTATCTCTTGGTTAAATTAGCTGAATAAATCGCCCCCCTTTACAAATTGGAGAGCGTGAGAGAAATTGACGGTTGTGGGAGAATGACTGCTCGTTGGTCACAAGTGAAACGGCTTAATGAAAAATGTCTTAATGCAACGGCGCATAGCTTTAAAACGTAATAGAACTAAGAGACTGGAATCAATTAATATTTAATAATTATTTCTGACTGTGTGCTTGTTCCTTTTAGTTAAGGCTGTTGAGCAAGAAATATGAATGTAAACACAGTGTAAATGCCTCCATTTCACAGTAGAGCGGCTCCACAACCTTTTTTTCGCTGTGCCAATCGTTGTTTAAATATTTGTTAGCAAGGTGTGTGTTGCTTTTTAATTCCCGGGTGGTTGTGTGCTCCCTTACTATCTGTTGATGCAGTTGGCTTTTTCGCTGTACTCCATTATGTGCCAGTTTGTAGGTAATTTCATCTTAATTTTTCAAATTTGAGAAGTCACTGTGGCATAAACTGTTATACGAAACAGATGTGACAGTTGAGATATGACTAGTGGCGGATGGAATCATGGGACAGACACTTTTATAGGCTTTTGTGACTGAAATTAGAATGAATGAGGCAAAAAACACCATTTCAGGTGGCGGAAAAAAACTGCTAAAACACATGCAGAAGAAAGTCTGGATATGGGGCCATTTATAAATAAGAGGTTCTCTTTATGTGTCTAAAAGTGTGAGAGGAGAGGCACATAAATGATGTATCATCTTCAAAGGCGACGCCTCTTAGTATATGGGCATCGTAACGTAAAGTGTCACCACACCAGACCAGATAACTATACTGTATTCAGACACATGAAGAACAACATGTTTGCAGTTTTTGATAGATGAATGGAAGAATAGATGGATTGAAAGATGCTATTTGTATATATATAGATGCTAGATATGTATAGATAGATAGATGGATATAGGTTTATAAACCTTTATTAAGTTGATTTTGTCTTATTTTTTTAAGAAAATGTTTGGATTAAATAGGGTTCAAATTAATTCAGTTGCTTTAAAGTGCCCCTATTATACAATTTTTAAGGTTCCTAATATAGTTTTGGGAGTCTCCTACAACAGGTTTGCATGCATGCAAGATCAAAAAACACTTTTGTATTCTCATAATATACATTTAATTTCACCTCAGTTCTCAATGATTCGTAAACGATTCGTTTGAAGCTGTTCGAAGAATCAGTTCTCCTTTCCATGAGCCTACACTGCACTGATTTGTTAGATGGCCTAGTCCTTTGTGATTGGTCTACCGCGTACAGCGCATGCTAAAGTGTTTGAGGACTGGGCAAGTTGTTTGCGGCGGACAATGTGGAACATAGGAAGTGAGACTGGATAAGGCTGTTCAGAGTCTATATATATATATATAATTTTTAATTTTTAAATTTTTTTGAGACAATAACTTTATCGTGCACTGTTGTATTCACAACTTTGCAGATCGTTTACATTCACAGACAGCTACATTACACACAGCATGAAAGGTAATATTCGAAAATGCATAATAGGGGCATTTTAATGAACTCTGCATTTGAATCTAAATGGCCCATTATTTACTTGAAGGTAGCACAATTATTCAGAGGGTACAAATTCAAGGCATTTTTTAAAATAAAAGATTTTCGGTTGCAATTTATATTAGTGTTTAAGGGACAGTACATATTAAGTGCTGGTCACTGTTTCAGGTTTTTCACCATTTTTTTCACCTTTATTCGTTTTCTTTAGCTAAATGGTTCTGCGGTGTGACAAATGACTTTTTAAATGTACTAATAGTCCATGTACCCTCTCAATGAATATGAACTCATAAAAGCTGCATGAATCACAATTATAATTATAAAAGAATTCGCAAAATTCTGTTTCATTCTGGGTTTAGGTCACACTGCAGCACATCAGCAAAAAAGTATTTCATGCCAGCCATTTCCTAAAATTCTTCTTTAAACGAAGAACTTTGCCATCACATTAGGGATGTGATCCTGTGATGTCCACTTAGCAGGGCACTTACGGTCGTATAGAACAAACGTCTGAAGTGATAAGAGAAACATACAAAATGTGCGGAGCGGTGGTACTCGGGGACTGGAATTGAGAAAGCCCTGTAATATAATATAATATAATGACTTTGAATAGTCATATTATATATTTAGATATTTAAATGAGAAAAAACTATATCCCAAGGCTGTTATTTGTTCTAAAACGCTTACGTAAGGCTTGCACATTGTTCAGATCACCGTCATTGTGCTTTCCTTAGATACCGTCTCTGTATCATTGTTTACCGTATCCCTTGCGATTTCGCATATTGTTATTCTTCACGAGTTGCAGCTCTTGTTCTGTTCTCATAAACCAAACTGTCTTTTATCGTTTCGCTCCCTTCATTTGTGAGATTTTTTATGGAATTGGCTGCACAATGACTAGTAACTCCCAGTTACAATGATCTATTCTGCAGCTGCGTTATCTCGCTAATAGAGTGCAGCATAGAAGTAGCAGGGCAAGCAATGGTACCATGGTAATTGTCAAGGAATCACACAGGAACATCAGAGAGAACAATGGCATTATAACTCTGCTCGCCATAATCATAATATTCCTTTGTTTCATGGAAATTAAACGCATAGGCGACGAGAGCTCCAAGCAGGCCCAGTCTCTGTAAATCTGGGATTGTTTTTGCCATGTGGTTCAGGCGTAAATGGAGTTAATGTGGTTTTTCACGAAGCTCCCAGTTGATGCATTATTTTTACTGATCTTGTTTGTGTACTTTTGTTTTCCAGTTTGTTTATGGTATTTGATATAAAATAGAACCCGATCAAACATCTCCTCACCAGTTATTTGTATGTCTGACCCTTCTTTTTTGGTCGGCTCTTATCTGGATTTGCTTAGCTTGCTGATTGTCTTCTGCGTTTCTCTACAACACTTCTTCGCATTAGTCGGAGTAAACAGCAACCACTGCATCGTGATTACAGAACGCAAACTGCCGGATAATGGCTCCCGCATCGGTGTGTGTAATTGATTGGTATTGAGCTGTCAAGCTGCATATATTATTACAGCGCTGAAATCAACTCTCAGGCTTTTGTCTGTTAGTAAGATGATAGACTGTCTGGGACAGGTTGCCTCTGTGCGCTTGGGATCATTTATCTTGGTCCCCGCTGCTTTTTATGAGACATTTCCTCACTGCTTTCTGATCTCTCTTTGCTATTTTATGAGTCTGTGGCTTTCGAATGCAACATTTATGGGTGTAACTGCTATAGCATAGAAGCGTATGATCTAAGGAATGCTATCTGCCAAACACTAAATATGTGCTCCATTAGGAGAAAAAGCATTTTTTTTTGTGAGCAAGTGCCTTTTTGGCACTTGTGACAATTGAAATGCTTTTTTCCTCACCCTTTCCCTTCCCTCCCTCCCTTTCTTTCCTCCTCAACACCTCTTATTGCCCTCCCTTGAAGAAGTGTGTTTATTTTACCTTCCTCCTTTTTTCCCTCCCCTTTGGTTTCCTTTAAATTTGGCATCCGTGTTTGCCTCAGGATGTCTGTCACAAACTGCAGTCAAACATTGTGACAATGCTTTTCGTTTCCGCCCGTGCCTTTTTTTATGACCCGCTTATTTCTTTTTTTTCTTTTTCCTGTTTTTTCCTTCAAGGTCTGGCGCACCTGACGTTAAAGAGCCAAGGTATGGGGTCCTCTCCCGTTTCCTTTTCCTTATTTTTTTTCGATTCCCCCGTTTTTTTTTTTTTGTACGAAACCCTTGCTTCCACAAATCATTTAATCTACCTTATTTTCCTTCCATTTCTTTGTCCTGTTGGTTTCTGTGCCCGTTCATTCTCTGCTATCTGTGTGTTCTCCATGTGCGTCTCCTCACCCCTGTCCTGTCCACTGGCCCAGCCCCAGGAGCAGCTCCTCTGATGGCCACTCCTGCAGCAGGTAACGCTCTTACGCTCTCCCTCACATGTTTGTTTTGGTCCTGGTGTTGTGCGGTCACAAACCGTACCCAGAATGCACAGAGCCAGAGCTCTGCTGTCATTCTAGCTGTTTGGCTTTATTAAAAAAAGATGAGTAGTTTTGTTTGAAAGCTGCCGATTGAATGTGAGTTTTATTTTAAATATGTGCTAAATGTTTTCTTTCTTTATTATGGGTGTGTACTTAAAATGCAAATAATGTACCCGTTTGAAATGTTTCTTGCCTCTTCTTTCAGCTGAAGCGACTCATTGTGGTGGCTGATAACTGTCATTACACTATCTATTATACACTTCACATTCTTTTATCTGCATGTTCGCTGAATTGCAGTGTAGTCAGGCTAAGCTTTAAAACTGCAATTATTTTTTATAAGAGTAGTCTACCGTGCCGCCGCTTGAAATGCAAAAACATTTCAGTCAGATATACTTATCTAACAAATTTAGACAGAGCACACTCGCTGTCTGTAGCAATAACAGAAGGCAGCTTGATTCCTTCATTCCCTTACTGACCTGTCAATCTTAATTACTTCAAGTGATTACAGGCCTGTGTGAGATAAGCAGGGTTCACTAATTGCAGGATTTGCTAATGATTGGTTCATGAAGCTCATATGAGGATGTATGTCTTCATCAAAATATTAAATTGTCCCTTGTGATATACACACACACATATATGAAGAAATTATATACTTAAAATCTATCGTTCATTTGTTCAAAAGTCATTAAAACCTTTTTTTAAGAAAGAAATTAATACTTTATTCAGCAAGGATGCATTAAATGTATAAAAAAATTACTGCAAAGATATGTATAATATTATAAAATATTTTTATTTCAAATAAATGCTGCAATTTTGAACTTTCTATTCATCAAAAAATCCTGAAAAACTGAAAAAACCAAATCAGCATATTAAAATGATTTTGTGAAGGGTCATGTGACACTGAAGACTAAAAAATTCAGATTTGACATCACAGAAAAAAATTGCATTTTAAAATATATTAAAATAGAAAATTTTAATTGGAAAAAGTGTAAAAAAAAAATCACAATATTACTGTTTTACTGTATATTTGATCAAATAAATGCAGCCTTGGTGAGCATAAGTTAGCCTACTACTTTCAAAAACAAAAACGAAAAGAAAAGAAAGAAAAATACGTTTTTGCAGATCTATGTGGTATTTCACAGCATCATTTCTCTGTTGGTGTGGTATAATTTCAAAGCTTAAACTACATTAATTTATAATATTAATGAAGCATTTTTTTTTCACTAGCTTTCCAGTCAAGTCAGTTATGATTATTTTCAGTATTTGAGTTTGTAATCTGGAGACTGCATACAAACACTAACATGCTGTAATGCATTGTGTTCGTTTATTCTCCTGATTTTTAAGGATTAAATTGGCTCTGTTCCAAAACCTAGTGAGCTGCCTCACTACCTCGCTGCCTAATGCCTACATAAACAGCTGCCTTCCAAGGCAGCATCCTAACCATAATGGATCCTCATAAGTGAACTCTCCGCACATTCAGCAACTCAACATGCCACACAAATGGCACTCTGGAGACATGACTCACAATTGATTCCAATAGAGTTTGGTGTTAGCTTGTTGCTAAGCTACAGACAAGCTACTCCAATAAGCAAAAATATACTTGGTGAACACATATTTTAATTTAAATGTTTAATTTATATATTTAAATTTAAGAAATCCCAGAAGAATTTAAAATCCCAGCATTCATTGAGAAGGATACATGCTATTCTCCCTTAGTATTTGACAAAGTAAACAATTAGAATCATTGTGCAGCCTACCTTTTGGAACAATTTTGTGCCAATGATGCCTTAAAATGCTGCCTACATACGCAGGTTAATGTGTTTTGGAACAGAACAGTTGGATGGCAGTATAAGCTTCTCTCAAAAGCACGCTATCTGCCCACCTGGAGAAATTTGACCTCAAGGCAGTCAAGTCCTTTATATTATTCAGACGACCTGTACAGCTTTTCAAAGGATTACGTAGTTTTCTTGGCCCCAGAGTCAGCTGAGGTCAAGACAAGAGACAGCAGAGAAAGAAGACTCTGCCCCTGTGGGCTCTGAAGTGTAATAGAGACTTTTAATTACAGTGTGGGTGGGGGGAATTCGACCCAGCTTGTTAATTATTAGGTACTAATGAGTGACCTTAATTACCAGCAAGGATGCGGGACAGTAGTCTTCAGCTGACTTTATTTATGTTGCAACTTTAACCATTTAATCAAAGAAAAAAATTATAAGCTCATAAATCAGAAGTTAAAAACGAAAGTAGCAGATGACCCAGCACGCGTCTTTGCTTCCAGCCTTTGTCTTTTGAGCTGCAGCTCTATACAGAGAAACTAATGCAGCCTAGACTGCTGCTGAAGGGATACAGGCTCATTTTTCTCAGCTCGGCCTCTGGCTGTGCTCGCAGATCAGACGCTAAGAGATTGATCAGTTGGAGATAAAAGG